GTTCCTCGCTAGGAGTTTTCCACGCTAGACCCAGGTATCTACACAGCTCGACGTACTCTGCATGGGACTGGAAGTACAGTTGGCCAGCGAAGAGGTTGAGCTGAACAATCTGGCTTCGAAGAAGGCTCAAGCTGTCTGCGGAGAACTCGCGGCCAACGCAATACAGATCAAGCGTGTCGAGTGGGCCATAGCTCTGATTGGGACGCGGAGAGTAAAGATGCAGCGTCACTAGCTTTGACTTTCGAACTTTCGCAACGAGTTGTTCGGCTTCGAAAGGACTAAGAATAACCAAACACCAATCAGCGGAGGGCTCATACCCTGTCGCAATAGATAGGATCCATTGCACAGGCCTGAGATATGAGTCCGAGACGTACAAGTCTGACATGACTCCTTGCGGGTGCTTGACAGTGCGCTCGAAGTCCGCTGTCATGAGCAGGTCTTTTGGGAATCGTTCAAGATCGAAATGTTTTGCAGCACTCGTTGACTTCAGAGCCTGAAACGCGGGTATGAATGCGTCTGATCTTGCCGAAAAGATGCCAGCGTCTACCAGTCTGACAAGATCGGGGTGCAGTTCGTGCTTCTCAGCTTCCATAGGTGCAGGTCTCTGAACTTCGCGCTCTTCCTCGATTTCTGGAGAGAGCTCTCTCTCTTGCTCTTCTTGAAGCGTTGCTGTGTCTAGAGACACTGCTTCGAAGTCGCGATAGCGCTTGAGGATCTCCCGAATGCTACTGTTGGTGGTGTCCCAGTCCCTCATTGCATCGGATAGATTACCAGGACGAGGTCGATAGCGATCTTCGAGGCTTTGCGCTTCTGTTTCGAGAAACGCTTTCGCTTGTTCTACAGTTGTTTCCGCTCCATTCAGGTAACCCTTGTGGTCCTCATAGCGGTGACCTTGAGCAGCCCACAAAGGTATGTTCCGCCGCATGTCTGCCCACGTCTCTGCGATTGCCCATGCCAAAAGATCGGAAACTTCTATCTCTGTACTGCACGACTTTGAGGTGCACTGCAGAATCTTTGTCTGTATTTCTTCCGGGATGCAGAAGACGATTGACTGACCCTTGCCCAGCTTCCGCATCCGCATACATGCTTGCACTAGCGCATCCTTTGTCAATTTTGCGCCTAACGTTACGGCGGCCCGGTAGTGCTTCGGCATCCTCAGATCCGTTCCCCGGGTGTGGGCCTGGTCGAGGTATACAAGACATTCTTCCAGATGCTTCGAAAACGGCGATGTTTGCAGTCGTTCAACGCAGCCATTGTGATCGAGAACCGAGAGTTCTTCGTTGTCGTTGAAGAAGATGGCTGCTTTTGCCTTGATGCCGTTTGAGTTGCTTATGCGAAGCCACGTTTCAGCCACTTGAAAGTTACTGAGCTCCAATATTTGCGCACCAGCATCGAGGATTACCCGAGTCGGTAGTTCCATTGCGTCGACGATCTCCAGTAGATGCTCAGCATCTGCCTGCGACGGTAGCAATTTAACAGAATTCTCATCCTGCAGTAGGTAAGCCAACACTAGGGCATTGGTGTGGTTCTGTTTTTCGGAATCAAGATAATGGACGCTGAGTGGGAGTACTTGACGTGAGTCGTTCGTGCCGCTGAAGCCCGTCGTGGGATGAGATTTAACGGCACCAAGGTCCCAGCCGGATGCAGAGAGCTTGGATGGAAACTCCTTCATTGCCTTGGGGAAAACAACGTGGGACAGAAAATAATCGATGGCACCTTTCGAATAACGAAGCGATGGGAATATCTCCGCGATGCACTGATGACGATCTTTAATGTTGATACCCGTGAGATGCTGGAAGGCCTCGGGAAGAGCTCTTGCCGAGCGGACCC